TTTGAATCTTATATAATAGAATGATCTTATACTTTGATTCACATTGTTATTTACTTATCGTAATGGATGGTTTATCATATTTTCGGGGCGTTACACTATAGATCTTGTTTCGATGATTCGAATTATTCATTTTATAGATAATAAATATCAAATGGCGTTATTTAAATAATATTCTTGACAAATTAAAAATCGTAACACGCTCAGTGAATCTTCTTTTATTTTTCAACTACATTATAATTTACTTATAAAATTTTCTGCTACAACATTAATTTTACACACCATATCATGCATACCATGTAAATAAAAGCACTCAAAAAAATTAAAGTAATACATGTCATCCCCCACTTTTTGATCACAAACTCAAAATAAACAAAAAAGATTGAGAAAAAAATACTTCTTCTTTTTATTGACATGTTTGGATGCTATATTAAGGTGAGCTTGTGATCAATATAAAGTTGTATTTTTTTTCTCAGCTATATTAAGGTGAGCTTGTGATCAATATAAAGTTGTATTTTTTTTCTCAATTTTTTTGTTTATTTTTTTTTATTTGTGTAATTTTTTTTCTTTTCAGGTTCAAAGAGTTTAAAAAGTAAAACAAAAAAAATAAAAAATCATTGATACCAAAAAAAAAAAAATGTGTAACAAGTTGATTATTTAGTGCCTTTCGTAGACTTTTTTTTTTTCATATACATATATATTTAATTTTCTAATTTGGCTTGTCAAGTAGAACTTAAAAATATAAAATCTTTTTTAAAAAACATAATTGTGTATGTTATTTTTTGACCACACTGTCAATTAGGTACTCAGTTGGAGAACACCGAGAGAATAGATTGCGCTCGAACGACCTGTCACAAAAAGAAAAGACTCCGGCGGTGGTTCGTCCACCCGGGAGTACTCCGACGATCAAGTCAGTTATCTCTCCAAGATAGCAAAAGTGCTTAACTCACTAATTAGAATACAAAAAGCGTACCTTAGACCCACAAGGGTGCCTTACTTTTATAACCAACACTGACCTGATCCCTATAGAAGCCTGGCTTCAATGGACTCTGGCTCAATGCCTATCTGGGACTCCCAGTTAGATAGAGATAAACTCCCTAAGAGCTTTATCCTTATCCAGGCTGAGGTCCTCCCTCATTTTAGAACTCTTGTAACCTATTCGCTTATCTCGAATTTCGGTATCTTCGCAGATAACCTTGGCCTAGCCGAGATCACCTCGGCGCCATGACCAAGGCACGTGGCACCTCGGCTGGTACTTTGGTACCACCTTTGCCATGTGTTGCCATTCAAGAAATATGTCCCCACAACTGCCCCCTAGGTTTTATTACCTTGGCATCCTGAGGTGATGGAACCTATATCATTTGAACCATACAGCACGTCGGCTTGCTCTATCCTTCATTACCGAGGTCATCATTCGTTGGCTCCATAGGACCAAGACTTGTAGTCTGTTTTCATCAATGCCTTAGAACCAATAGTCAAGTTTGTTCTTAGCCGAGATCATCCCCCAAGCCGAGGTCTTTGCTTCATTAAATCAAGAACTCCAAGAGTGTTACCGCGCGTACGAGCTGTTACGCATAGTAATTCAACCGTTTCTGCCACGCGTATCTTCCCCACTGAATCGTACCTGACACACGCCATTAAGTTGCATCGCACTTGCGTGCGCCGTCTGACAAGCACATCATCCTAGGCACACTAATTGCGATTTGCCGCCTTTTCGTGTTTTGATTAAAAACACTTCCCTCTCTCTTTGCCGTTTCATTTTTACATCTTCGTTTCCTTCCAAACTCTCTCTCTCCAACTTTCTTTACCAAATCTTTCATTGTTGCCTTATTCGAGCTTCTGTAACCACTCCGTTCACCTCCTCCGATGAAGTTTTTGCTGCTCTGCTACTTGTTCCACCGTCGTTTAACTCCGGCGTACCTCACACCAGCGTCACTTCCTTCTGGTAAATCACTACTTCCCCTCTTTATCAATCTATGTTTTTTCTTTAGAAAACTCTACTGTATTATTTGCTGCCATTGCCAATCCGTTCATGTTCTTGATTATAAATTTGTGTGTTGAATTCTATCATGTATTTGGGCATGTTTGTCTCATGATTTTGCTTTTGCCCAATCTCTTCCTGAGTGTATGCACACTACTCACATACTTGTTTATTTTGTTAACGATCTTGGCCTCGCATTCTTGTACACACTTCGTCACAGTGTTCTGGATAGTTCATCACTATTTTGGATTCTGAATCATGTTCTTGTTTCTGTTTTCTTGTTGTAATTTCCAGATTTCTGCCTTCAATTCTTGTTTTCATACTCTTAGGTTTTGGGGTTTGCTTTAGAACACCAATCCTTAGGAAAAACTAAAACGAATTCTTCCTAGATTCTGAAAAACCCTTGCTGCTCCCGATTTGAGTTTTAAGCCAAGGTCCTTTAAACCTTAACAAACCACTTCTTTTTGAAATCCAACACCTCCCCTACTCTAGCCGACATCATGGGTATTGTGGAGATGTGGTTTGGAAATACTCTTTAGATCCTGGGAGACGCTAGTGATCCTCAGCTAGTCACCTGAAAAGATACAAACACTCTGGTCGGGGGTGCCGAAATTAGCACTCCGACAGACAAGTCAGTTCAGACACTCAGGATAGCTTGTTTACTAAGTTAAATGAAGTCATTCTTGCATACCTTTCCCAATCCATTGTTCCTGTATTTATACCTGTTCCTTTTGATCCTCGGGGCCAGGGCCTACTTTTTAATCATTGTCCTTTCTCTTATTCGGCTCTAAGGATCTACACTTATTCGGCATATGTATTGTATTCGGCTTCCCATTCTCGTAGGATACAGTCGATTAAAATCAGTCTTCTAAGGTATGCACTTTCTGATCTTTCTATTTATTCGGCTCTGACAATTGCCCCCCGAACTCCCCATTGACGGTAGTTAATCGACGTATTTGGTCTTGAATTGGAAAAGTCGAAATAGGTCAGGCGGCTTCGCGTGCCCCAATACAGATGTCAGGACGCGCACACCTTTTTGGTCGCCATTACATTTTCCCGCCTCATTCGTGCATCTCGCATTTATTGTGATTTGAAATTTCAGTCATTTCGAGTGCACATTTTGTCGAGTATTCGAGACTCTTGGACCGCCAGCAGGCAACCCTTCTCTGACTCACGTTTTCTGTAACTCTTCTCCGTCTATCCTTGCCCCGTCCACTCGTAAGTCTTCTTCTCTCTTCTTTGCAACCCTATTTTCTGTTTGTCATTTTGATTTCGGCAGTACCTTGAATCCCCGCGAAGATGGCTAAACACTTGAAAGATCTCATTTCTGAGGGTCGTATTTCCAGATTCCGGCGACACTTTTCCATTCCCGACGATGTCCACTTATCTCTTGTAATGGACAGTACTCTTGATATGGAGAGGGACGATCCAAATACGATCGTCTTCCCTCTCTTATCCATAGCGGAGGGCGGAGTCCGTTTTCCCCTACATCCATTGCTTAGGGCCGTCCTTCTCTATTAGAGTCTGATTCCTTCTCAACCCAACGTAAATTTCTTTCGAATCATCATGGGGGTGATAGAGTTGAACCGACGCCTTAGGATTAACCTTGGCATTCCGGCGATTCGGCACTGCTACGCTTTGGCCAAATCTTTCGGTCGGCTGGGGCGATACTTTCTCAGGGCCAAGGACACTGACCATCACTTGATAACCATGCTTGCCAGTTCTGGTAAGAGAGTTGACGACGTAATGGTCAATGTCCGAGGTAATTAGGAGTTCGGTAAAGGCGAAGACTGCCTAGACCCTATTTCCAGACAGAAGGGTGATTCAGGTTGCCATGTAACGCCTTGTGTTTGTTGATCTGCCTTTTATTCGGTTTTTTCCCTTTAATCACCCCTTGTTCTTTGCAGGCAACAGATTGAAGAAGATTCTTCCCTCAACCGACGACGCAGTCCTTGAGGAAATTAAGTCTGCAACACTTTTCCATTCCCGACGATGTCCACTTATCTCTTGAAAGTAAGGGAGAGCTTGATATGGAGAGGGAGGACCAAAATACCATCGTCTTTCCTTTCTTATCCATTGCGGAGGGCGGGGTTCGTTTTCCCTTACACCCATTTCTTAGGGCCGTCCTCCGCCATTGGGGTCTGATTCCTTCCCAAACTAATGTGAATTTCTTTCGAATCATAATGGGAATCGTGGAATTGAACCAACGCCTTAGGATCAACCTTGGCATTCTGGCGATTCGGCACTGCTACGCTTTGGCCAAATCTTCCGGTCGGCTGGGGCGATACTTTCTCAGGGCCAAGGACACTGACCATCACTTGATAACCATGCTTGCCAGTTCTGGTAAGAGAGTTGACGACGTAATGGTCAATGTCCGAGGTAATTAGGAGTTCGGTAAAGGCGAAGACTGCCTAGACCCTATTTCCAGACAGAAGGGTGATTCAGGTTGCCATGTAACGCCTTGTGTTTGTTGATCTGCCTTTTATTCGGTTTTTTCCCTTTAATCACCCCTTGTTCTTTGCAGGCAACAGATTGAAGAAGATTCTTCCCTCAACCGACGACGCAGTCCTTGAGGAAATTAAGTCTGTATTCAGATACTTCAGCCGTCCAAATGTACAAAAGTAAGGGAGAGCTGCTCACATACTCCTCCGATACGAACCTACTTATACTAATTTCTCGGCCACGGACGGCATTCCAATTTCATCCGGCGATCAACACCTTTCGGCTTTTCTCTTTCCCAGCTTCAAGAGCCTTAGGCAAATTAGCCTTGAAGATTCGGATTCGGAGGAAGACGCGGAGCTGGTGGTAGAGGTAGTTGCCGAACCAACCAGAGAGGTCGTTGAGGAGGCCGAAGAAGTCGACGAGGCCTTAAACTCGGCATTTGATTCGAGGCTGCCGGACTTAACCAGCCTTCACCGTCCACTTCGGGTCGGACAAAGTTCTCTTTTGGAGATATTTTGCGAATTTGGGAGGCCTACCCGGTGATTTTTCTAAAGGTATGGCTGGGGAAAGTCTTACGCAGATGGCGCGAAAGAAAAATACCGAGCGAATGGCTGCTCGAAAGAAGGCCGAGGCCGCCCATTCTGAGCCCACCGTGATTGAAACCTTCATACCTGTTATTGAAGAGACGACTCAGGTTGCTGCGGCTGAAGCGGAGAAAGATGTTGAACAGGTGATTGAGGAACGTCTGGTTCCGGAGGAGCAGGGAAAAAAGCGTAGTGGTGAGGGAGAGGCTGGGGCGGAGATTAGCCCTACTTCCAAACGGCCTCGTTTAGAAGAGTCGGACGTGGGTGCTCCTTTTATTGTTCGGCCAAAGATCAAAGATACGCCGATTTCTTCTGACGCTTTAGCCATTGAGGATCCAGCCATGGCGTTAAGCCTGGCGGCTTTAATTTCCTTACCGGCTGACACCGCAGCCTTTCGCGCCGTGCCGGATGTTATGGCCGTAGCCCTATCTGCGTAGTCAGCACTCCTGGTAAGTGACCATCTCAAATTCTCTTTAATTTATTTTTGTTAAGGTATCTGACGATCCCAACTTGTTTTGCAGACGGTTGACAGGATCGCGGATCTGGGCCGCTGCCTGCATGATACCCTTGGCAGGATTGATCATTTGCAAACGGAGGCGGACGCTCAAAAGAATAGGGCCGAGTTTGAAGTGATGAGAGCCGCAATGGAGAGTGCGCGAGCTGAAGCAGAGGCGGAGAGGGCTCGCTCAGCTGAACAGCTCCGTTCTGACGCTGAGAGTAGGGTAAATGCGAGCGAAGAATCGCTCAAATTAGCCAAGGAGGCGCTTGCCGAGGTAAAGGTTGAGTTAGAGGAGCTCAAGGCGGCCAAGGAAAAAGCCGATTCTGAGGCTTCTGCGGCATTTGAGGCAGGAAAAAGCGCCGCCTACACGGAATATGTAGATGAAGTCCCCAAATTCGAGAATCGGGGGTTCAAACATGGGTGGCTCAAAGCCCTTGCTGCTGCTGGAGTTACATTGGCCTTGCCAATTCCCTACGAGCAAGTGAACGTTGAGCCACTCGAATCTGACCCCGAGGATTGATCTGGGACACATTTCAATTTTATTAAGTATTTTTAATTCCGATGTAAGTTTTTGTTCGGTAGACTTAGACTTTTGTTGGTTCAGGGTAGTTTTCATGTATAAATTAGTTACTATTTGCATTCAATTTATTAATGAAAATTTCCTTGTTATTTCACCACCACTAGTACACAGTTTGTGAAGTTATGTTAATGAAGAATGTTTTGCCTTTAACTACTTTGGATAAATCATTGCTGTGTTTGAGCTTTCAGAGATTGAATATCTTATGACAATATTGATTTATCACTCATGTGCCGAGTACTGTGGGCATTCAAGCCGAATATATTGATGAATCTTAAGTATTTTGAATAATCGATTCATGAGCCGTCTGTGGCATTTAAGCCGAATAGATTGATGAATCTGCCCTTGCCCTAGGGGGTGCATGATCATTCGGGAGTCGGATGAGATGGCCTTGGGAATTTTGAAGTCGATTCATGAGCCGTCTAGGGCACTTGAGCTGAATAGATTGATGAATCTGCCCTTACCCTAGGCGGTGCATGATCATTCGGGAGCCGGATGAGACGGCCTTGGGAATTTTGAAGTCTATTCATGAGCCGTCTGGGCACTTGAGCCGAATAGATTGATGAATCTGCCCTTGCCCCAAGCGGTGCATGATCATTCGGGAGCCGGATGAGATGACCTTGCGAATTTTGAAGTCGATTCGTGAGCCGTCGGGGCACTTTAGCTGAATAGATTGATGAATCTGCCCTTGCCCCAGGCGGTGCATGATTATTCGGGAGTCAGATGAGACGACCTTGCGAATTTTGAAGTCGATTTTTGAGCCGTCTGGGCATGTAAGCCAAATAGACTGATGAATCTGCCCTTGCCCTAGGGGAAGCAAGATCATTCGGGAGCCGGATGAGACGGCCTTGGAAATTTTGAAGTCGATTCATGAGCCGTCTGGGGCACTTGAGCCGAATAGATTGATGAATTTGCCCTTGCCCCAGGCGGTGCATGATCATTCGGGAGCCGGATGAGACGGCCTTGGGAATTTTGAAGTCGATTCATGAGCCGTCTGGGCACTTGGGCCGAATAGATTGATGAATCTGCCCTTGCCCCAAGCGGTGCATGATCATTTGCGAGCCGGATGAGACGACCTTTGCGAATTTTGAAGTCGATTCGTGAGCCGTCTTGGCACTTTAGCCGAATAGATTGGTGAATCTGCCCTTGCCCCAGGCGGTGCATGATCATTCAGGAGCCGGATGAGATGACCTTGCGAATTTTGAAGTCAATTCGTGAGCCGTTTGGGCATGTAAGCCGAATAGACTGATGAATTTGCCCTTGCCCCAGGGGGAGCATGATTATTCGGGAGCCGGATGAGACGGCCTTGGGAATTTTGAAGTCGATTCATGAGCCGTCTGGGCATGTAAGCCGAATAGACTGATGAATCTGCCCTTGTCCCAGGGGGAGCATGATCATTCGGGCGCTGGACGATTGGGATTTTTTGCAATTAATGAGATTGCCTCGAGGGCGTTGCCTCTATAAAGGATAAATGAACAAAGGTACAACCTTTATGAGCTTAGTAAACAGCTGACTCCAGCTCTTGGAGGAAGATTTATCGTGTGAATGTCGAACAGACTTTTCTTTAACAGCAGAGGGGAAGCGAGGACGCTAGCTGAGCTGGGCGGAGACATGAATTGAGGTGGTGAACCTTCGCGCATAGGAAGTAGGAGTTCGAGGGATCGAGAGAGGCGTCAGTCTCCTCGACGTCGAAGCAGGTCACCTAGGCGGGACAAGCAGTCGCAGGGCAGATCTCCGCAACTCCGAGTCGAGAGGGGATCAGACGTGAATCCGTGCCCACTAAGCTTTGCGGTATTTGTAGGGAACAGACCCATGACAGAGGCGGACTCGATCGTTCAGGACCCAAATGTAGCAGTTGAGTTTGCTCGACAAATTTTTCCTCCTGAGGTGCAGCAGTCCATGGTAGGTTACCAGGACTATGACATATTTCGTGAAGGCATTCACGGGGCGGTGAAGGGGCTTTACACTACCTATGAAATTGGCATGCGGCTGCGCGTTGCCCGTCGACAATTGGAGAAAAAGGAGGAGCGTATTAGAAGTTTGGAGGCTCCCGCGGAGGCGGCTGAGCGTGAGTTGAGGAAGACTAGGGCGGCTCAGGCACAACCTGTCGGGCAGGGAAACCCAATTGTGGAGGAAAAGGTTACCAGTCGGCTCATCAGTGCTGCGCTCGCCGATCGTGAGACGGCGAGTATGTTTGCAATGGAGTCTGCGAAGGGGAGGGCCTATGAAAAAGGTTTTCATGAAGGCCGAAAAGTTGGAATCAAAAAGACCAAGGAGAAGCTTGCCAAAGAGGTTTGTTAATGTGAGAATCGTGGATTTAGGCACGGTTGGATCAAGGCATCTCAAGCCGCAGAAGCTTTTTGAGCGTCGGGCATTGATTCGGCATCGCCACTCTACCACAGTAGACATTTTCCGTTTTCTGCTTTTGAAGTCGAGAAAAGTGAGGATGAGGGTGATGCCGTATAAGAATATGCATTATAAGGTTGAATCGTAATAAAAACTATGTAATTTATTATTGGATTGAATAGAAACGTTCGATTATAAATATTCCATCATAGTTCGTATTCGGTATATACGTGTTTCGTTTTATTACATGGATGTTTGAATGAATGTACAAACATTGATCGTATAGTGATACGTCGACTTATAGGTGGGGTCGGCCCAATTGCGATGGCCGTTTATTCTTGAATGTGGCTACTGTAATTTCAAGAGGCCAAAAGCTAGTCCGTGGAGTGGCTGTGGCAAATTCCAGTCGGCGCGGGGTCTAAATGCTTGGCCAGTTGGATGGATAGCGCTGCCCCTGTCCCAGTTAGTGCGTGTTCCAAAAATCAGTTTGGGTACCTAGGCCGTGGTGAATATCAACCGACGTTCATCTTGTGGGGTTTTGGCATTAATGAAATTGCCTCGGGGTCACTACCAGCATTTAAAAATAAATGGAATGGATTCTTCGTGCCAGTGACCTTATTAATATAACGCCATTTATTGCGTGGGGTTATATAACATTGTGGATGTAAAACAGAGTTTCTTTAATCAACCAAACTCGAACTTTGGCCGAGTTTGATGCTGCAATGGATCGCAACGGAGAATTCTCCGATGTGGGAGGTAGGTCGTTAAAAAAGAAACGGGAGGTGCGTCAGCCTCCAAGTCGTCGAAGCAGATCGCCCTGAAAGGAAACATAACGACCGTTGCCCTTAACCTTCCTTGTCTTGGATCTTGGCCTTGACATTGACGATGGAGTCAGAGGGAGGTCCAGAGATACGCTGATTCGGGCACGGTTGGATCAAGGCATTTTGAGCCGCGGAGGCCTTCCAAACGACGTGCATTGATTCCGGGCCTCCACTGTATCAACGCGATTAATTCCCCTTTTCGCCTTAGAAGTTAAAGATAGATATTGTAATGGTCGAATGCAGATTGCGTCTATGTAACAACTGTTTGATCAAATAAAAAGTTTTATTTCAAACATTTGCGTCTTACTCTGATTTTTATTTTTTTTAGATTTTTATTTTTTATTTATTTTTATTTTTTATTTTTTTGTTTTTTTGTTTTTTTAGCTAAGCAACTTATTTCGAATGTTGGCATGTGTTGTTTCGTTTTGTTCGTGCCGAAGAGTCTTAATCGGCCCAAAGACATCTTGTGCCGATGGGGCTCCGTAACTGGCGTTTCGATGCGGAGACTTTAATCAGCCCCAAGGTGTAATACACCAAAAGGGAGCTCCAAATCCGGAGACTTAGTTTGGCCAATCGTGATATCCACGAAGGGCGCTCCGAATCCGGAGTCTTAGTCGGCCCTAAGGTGTCATGCACCAAAGGGGGCTCCGAATCCGGAGACTTTAATCGGCCCTAAGGTGTCATACACCAAAGGGGGCTCTGAATCTGGAGACTTTAATTGGCCCTAAGGTGTCATGCACCAAAGGGGGCTCTGAATTCGGAGACTTTAATCAGTCCTAAGGTGTCATACACCAAAGGGGGCTTCGAATCCGGAGACTTTAATCGGCCCTAATGTGTCATACACCAAAGGGGGCTCCGAATCCGAAGACTTTAGTTTGGCCAATCGTGATATCCACGTAGGGCGCTCCGAATCCGGAGTCTTAGTCGGCCCTAAGGTGTCATGCACTAAAGGGGGCTCCGAATCTGGAGACTTTAGTTTGGCCAATCGTGATATCCACGAAGGGCGCTCCGAATCCGAAGTCTTAGTCGGCCCTAAGGTGTCATGCACTAAAGGGGGCTCAGAATCCGGAGGCTTAGTTTGGCCATATCGTGATATCCACGAAGGGTGCTCCGAATTCGGAGTCTTAGTCGGCCCTAAGGTGTCATGCACCAAAGGAGGCTCCGAATCCGGAGACTTTAATCGGCCCTAAGGTGTCATGCACTAAACGGGGCTCCGAATTCGGAGACTTAGTTTGGCCAATCGTGATATCTGCGAAGGGCGCTCCGAATCCGGAGTCTTAGTCGGCCTTAAGGTGTCATGCATCAAAGGGGGCTCCGAATCCAGAGACTTTAATCAGCCCTAAGGTGTCATGCACCAAAGGGGGCTCCGAATCCGAAGACTTTAATCGACCCTAAGGTGTGATACACCAAAGGGGGCTCCGAATCCGAAGACTTTAGTTTGGCCAATCGTGATATCCACGAAGGGTGCTCCAAATCCAGAGTCTTAGTCGTCCCTAAGGTGTCATGCACCAAAGGGGGCTTCGAATCCGGAAACTTAGTTTGGCCAATTGTGATATCCACGAAGGGCGCTCCGAATCTGGAGTCTTAGTTGGCTCTAAGGTGTCATGCACCAAGGGGGCTCCGAATCCGGAGACTTTAATCGGCCCTAAGGTGTCATACACCAAAGGGGGCTCCTAGAAGTGAATTAAACGACGAAGAAAAATGGTTTTCATTGTAGAAGTGATATATATACAAGTATCAAAGCCCACAGGTCGGGTCAGTGATAGGGTTTTCATAAAATCTCTACTTGTGCCGATTGTGGGGAGCTACGGATTTCTTCAATGCCATGGGCTATCGGGAAGTGCACAAGCTGATGATAAGTACTTGGAATGGCCTTCATAATATGTAACCAGGTTCGCCCCATGATGACATTATACGGCGAAGGGAGCTTTACAACTAGGAATTCTACTTCGATCGTTCTGGAGCCCGCTCGAACAGGCAGTATGATCTTCCTTAACGGGTACTCAGGATTCGTATTAAAGCCAAACAATGGGTGAGGCACCGAAGACAGATCTGACTCGTTGAAGCCGAGTTTGATGAAAGTTTTGTAATACATAACCACTGAAGTACTCCCTGGGTCTATGAGAATACGTTCAATGGTGAACCGTTTTACGCGTAATTTGATGACCAACGGATCAATGTGGGAGGCTGTTGTGCTGCTAGGATCGGAGTCATTGAAAGTAATTGTCGGGGCTTCTCTAGGCCATTCGGTCGGAATACGTTTCTACCGAAGACAGATCTGACTCGTTGAAGCCGAGTTTGATGAAAGTTTTGTAATACATAACCACTGAAGTACTCCCTGGGTCTATGAGAATACGTTCAATGGTGAACCGTTTTACGCGTAATTTGATGACCAACGGATCGATGTGGGAGGCTGTTGTGCTGCTAGGATCGGAGTCATTGAAGGGGCTTCTCTAGGCCATTTGGTCGGAATACGTTTCTTTTGGGGGATTGGATGCGATTGAATTGTGTGCACGGTTGGGGACATAGGCAGGCTGTAGATTATATGGATCACGCCAAGTGGAGGTGAGTCCTGCCTCAAGGCTAATGCCTGGATTGGCTTTTCCTTTCTCACGTACTGTTGCAGTCGGTCGTCTTGCACCAGTTCTTCCAGGTGATCCTTTAATGCGTAACAGCTCTCGGTTTCATGGCCGTGATCTTTGTGATACTTGCACCGCCTCTCCCTTCTTCGCGTGTTGGGTGGCCCTACCATCTTTGACGGCCATTTGAAGAATGGAAGGTGTTGGACTTTGTTCATTATTGCAGTGATTGGTTCTGACAACTCTGTGTACTACTTGTCGGCACGCCTCGAGCGTCTGCTGTCGACTTGCAGTTGTTCATTCATCCAGTGGGAGCATTGATCGCTTGATCGGCGAGAATCCCGCCTTTTGTCTTGTTTAGCGCGTTGCCGCGGCCCAAGGCTCGGAGGTGGCACGGCACTTATTGGTTGAGCACTTTCGGGGGGGCCGTTTTGTTGGGCATTTGCCCGGCTTTTATTCTCAAGGCATCATCTTCCACTTTGCAATACTCTTCAACTTTCTTCATCAACGCCCAGACTGTTTTGGGGGGTCTTCTGGTCAAAGAACTGCGAAGAGCACTGTCGGGATGTAGTCCCATTTTGAAGGCGGTGATGGCCATGGAGTCGTTGCAAGCGTCGTCGACGAGGTTGAAGCACTCCCAATAGCGCGCCGAATACGCTCTGAGCGTTTCTCCTGACTGGATCTGCATAGCCCAGAGAAAGTTGACCTGTTTTGGCTGTACCTCGTTGGTGATGAACCTGGCCCTGAAGGATTTCTGTAATTGATGGAAGCTTTTGATCGAAGCTGGCTCCAGCTTGCAATACCACATGACAGCTAATGGCCCCAGGCTGCTGGGGAATATTCGGCACATGAGGGCTTCGTTGTTTGCATGCAATGTCATGGCTTGCTTGTAGTGATGGATATGATCAGTGGGGTCTGATTTTCCATCGTAAAGAGTGAATGGCGGAGCCTTGAACTTCTTGGGCAGGGCCGCCCTTGCGATCCGTCAGACGAAAGGATCGTGCTGGTCTTCTTCGTCTGAACTGCTTCTTTTGCACTTGTTCCTTGTATGTAGACTCTTTTCGGAGGAGCTGGAAGTTTCGGATCGCCCCTTCTTGTTGAGCTCCGTGGGTGATGAGTTAAAGTCGCTATCGGTCTCCTTTGGTCGAGCTCGAGGTCGTTGTCCACCTGTCTTCGGAGGTCGTTCGGGATCTTGGCGCACGACTTCTTTGGATTGTGCTACTTCCAGGGCCAAATCTTGACGGAAGACGTTCATTTTCAGCGATCATGTTCTCCAGCCTTTGTTCATTCTGCTTTGCTTGTTCTATGATCGCTCGCATTGTTTCTTGCGCTGAAGTCGTTGGTGAGTCGAAGTTCAAGGTGTGTCTTGCAACGATGGTTTCCTTTCTGAGCATATTTGCTGGAGTGAGGTCATCTCCCTGTGTGGTCTCGTCAGTGGCTATCGGAGGATCTTCAGTCATGCCTGCCATGGATGTATTTGAGTATTCCCACATACGGCGCCAATTGTGGAGATGTGGTTTGGAAATACTCTTCAGATCCTGGGAGACGCTAGTGATCCTCAGCTAGTCACCTGAAAAGATACAAACACTCCGGTCGGGGGTGCCGGAATTAGCACTCCGACGGACAAGTCAATTCAGACACTCAGGATAGCTTGTTTACTAGTTAAATGAAGTCATTCTTACATACCTTTCCCAATCCACTGTTCCTGTATTTATACATGTTCCTTTTGATCCTCGGGGCTAGGGCCTACTTTTTAATCATTGTCCTTTCTCTTATTCGGCTCTAAGGATCTACACTTATTCGGCATATGTATTGTATTCGGCTTCCCATTCTCGTAGGATACCGCCGATTAAAATCAGTCTTCTAAGGTACGTACCTTCTGATCTTTCCATTTATTCGGCTCCCACAGGTATGTTCAGGTGGTGGATACCCCAACTAAGTTAGAATACTTTAGGCAAGAGTTCGCCATTCCTGCAGATGTCCACCTTAGGTTAGTTGGGGAGGACGACTCCATTATGCCCAAAGACAACTTTATGCCCTTCCCAGTAGTAGCCTTTATTGAGTGTGGGCTTAGGTTCCCCCTTGACATCCTCTTCCGCCAAATACTGCACTACTACAAGCTTAACCTAATGCAAATAGCCATCAACACTTATTGAGTTATCAACGGCATAATTGCCTTGGCCAAGAAAGAGAACGCTAGGATTATTCTAGCCGATATCCAATATTGCTATACCACGTGCGGCCTTAAGTCAGAAAAAGGCTACATTTACTACTTAAAGCCGAGGTCAACCGAATATAAACTCATCGCCAACCTCCCTGATTCCAACAAGGGTGCTGGAGACGATTACTTTATCGTCTCAGGTAACTGGGAGTTCCCTCCAGATGATGACCTCCACCTCTATCCTTTAAGCCGAACACTTTTCAGAGAGGGAGATGATAAGAGTGGGACGTTACTCTTACTTGCTTTCAAGTCTTTATACTTTGACATTTTTGTATGTGCTAATGTCTGTAAGTCTTTTTCTTTGTAGTTCTTCCTCAGCCCCCAAAGGACTTCCGCAAAAACTTCTATCCTCGTAAAGATTTCAAGAAGCTGCTGGACTTGCCTGTTAATCAGCGCAAGGCTCCTGTGCTCTTGAATTTCATCCCAACCTATAAATCAACTTTGCCTGATGTCCCCAAAAAGAGCAAGTCCAGTCATTCTGCTACAACTCCTGCCACAACTTCTTCACCTCGGCCAGATCAGGGGTCAACCTCGGATCCAACAGAGTAGCCATCTACTTCAGCTTCACAACTGATTTTGCCCTCTCAGCGCCAACGCCGATGTCGAGCTCCACTTTCTGCACCGGCAGGCAGGACTCGAAGTCGAAGACGCTGAAGTGCTGAGTCATCGGTCTACGACCCAGCAAATCCACCAACAGCTCTACCAGCAATTCGCCTTGGTACTAAGGTCACCATTGCCGCCATAGTCGATGAGATGGGTCGCAAGATGGCAGTTGCTGATGATTTTCTGGCCGACATCCCCAACATTGTCTTCGTACAATCTTCACCATCATAATCTCAGCCAAAGCCAAAGCCAAAGCCAAAGCCAAAGCCAAAGAGGCTAAAGAAGGCCCAAGCTAAGGCAACGGTGACTCAGATTGATACTGAGGACACCTTCCCGATTTCAAAATTGGCCAAGGGTGAGAAGACCTCCTCCGCCGCCGAGGTTAAACCATTCGAATCCACCAAATCAAAGAGGCTGAGGTTGGTCTCTGCGGCCACCTCGGGGCCTTTTAAATCTGATGCCCTCTAGGCCCCTTCAATCACAATTGAGGACAAGCCAGTCAGAGCTGGTGACAGCGCCAATGACATTGAAGTCGGCGTTGCCTTTTCTACTGCCTTGCTCCTCTCCAAAGATCTCGACCGCAACGCCGAATTCAGCGAGTATGAAAATTTTACTCTGATGGTGTAGCACTCCGTACAAGTAAGCCCCTGACACTTGGTACTTTTCATTCTCTGCTATTTCATACTTCGAGAGTTTTACTAACTTGTTTTTTTCATTTCTTCTAGGCGATCCAGCATGCCCACTCCTTCGGGATGCAGGCCTTTGCCATCAAGAAGGAGTTGGTCCAAAAAAGCTCAAGACGAGGCTGCTAATTCGCTCAAGTCCCTCAACAGAGCCGAGGGCAAGATGATGGCTTTGATGGATCAGGCCAATGCAGCCAAGAAAGCTCAAGACGAGGCTGAGGAGAAGGTAGGCGCTACTAAGGCCATTCTTAAGGTCTTTGAAGCCGAGAAGAAAGAGGCCGAAGCAAAGATGATCAAGGCCCAAAAAGAACTCCAAGATGCCTTGGCCACAAAAGAGGTCGAGATCAAAGTGACGGACGAGAAGGCGTACACCAAGGGGGCAGCTGACGTCAAAGAAGACTACAAGAAACAAGTCAGACATGCATGCAACAAGGGCTATACCCTTGGTTGGATGGTTGCTCTGAAGGAGTTGGCTGTTAACGAAGCTGAGTTCGAGGAGGAAGCTGAGGCCGAAAAGTCCGAGAAGACTGTTGATGTTGGGGCCAAGTCCCCAACTTTGAATGAGCAAGTCTTGGACTTGACTCAGGATGAGGAGGACGAGGTCTCAAAAGATGCCACCCCTGAGAAGACAACATCTGATGCTCCTATTGCCGAGAAGAGCCTCGACCAGACTCTTAAAGAGATCGATGCCGAGCTTGCGGCCGAGAAGGCGATCGAGAAGAGTTCCCAGGTGTCATCTGGGGCCGAGACACAACCTGCCACAGTCGATGATGTAGTTTAGTTTTGAAACTTTTCTTTATTTCATGTACCTTGTACTTTCTTCTTTTGAACAATGTTTTTAGCTTTTATTTGGCCGATGTGCCTTTTTCTACTCTGAAACTTCCTTATCCGAATGCAAGTATAACTTTCTTTTTGTATTTCTTCTGAGTGCTTGGATGTATGCCTTTTCTTTACTGTCATGTATGATTCCATACTTAGAATAATTTGCAGGTCTTCGAAGTACACCTTAACTGTGCAATCTTCTCGGGGTAAAGTATCTCGGCCTTGGCTTAACGCTTGAAAATATTTTCACAAGTGTGTGTTTAAAACTTGCCACTTCACTTTTATTTATCAAGATCTCTGTCTTTCATTATCTTCCAAGTCTTGGCAACATGGTAATCTCGGCAAGTACGTAGATACTTTTTTCAGCTTAACCTTGGCTTAACTTTAACTTATAAATTTTTCTCAAAAATTTCAACAAGTATTGTAACATTTCAACGAGTGTTAAACCAACCAAGCATATCATTCTCTAGCTCTCTGCCCCCTAATGTGAACTTAAGTTTCACTTATGTTCACATTAAGTATGTACCTATGATCTTGTTGCCGAGGTCAGATTTAAACAAAGACTGGCCGAGGTGATCAACCTTTGTTTCTCTGTTAATCTAACTGACATGTACTTAGTACCGTTCAAAGTTTTAATTCTGCCGATATAGCAAATCTAGGTTAATCCAACTTAGTTCAACTCTATTATATGCAAGTATAATTCAACTCTGCCATATAATAAGTCTAAGTTATTCGTCATGTTTCAATCAGAAACATCGCCAACTTAGTTCAACTCTATTATATGCAAGTATAATTCAACTTCGCCATCTAATAAGTCTAAGTTATTCGTCATGTTTCAATCAGAAACATCGCCAACTTAGTTTAACTCTATTATATGCAAGTATAATTCAGCTCTGCCATATAATAAGTCTAAGTTATTTGTCATGTTTCAATCAGAAACATCGCCAACTTAGTTCAACTCTATTATATGCAAGTATAATTCAACTTTTTCATATGATAAGTCAAAGTTATTCATCATGTTTCAGTCAGAAACATCGCCAAGGGACTGGTCAACCGTATTACACAAGTTTGAAATAAAAAATCGAGCTAAAATTTTATTAATTACTTTGGCTAATAACAGAGAAAAATAAAAAATCTAATGATAGAAAAATTTTAGGTTGCAAGTATTCCAAGGTCTTGACAACTCTTTGCCTTCACTATCTTTAAGCCGATATGCCCCATTTCCCAGGACCGAGATGATTCTGTAAGGACCCTCCTACTTTGGGCCAAACTTTCCCTCTCTAGGATCTTTCTTGTTGCCGATGACCTTTCTCAAGATGAGGTCACCAACTTGAAACTCTCGTGGGTTGACCTTCTTGTTGTAAGCCCTAGCAAGTTGTTGCTGGTATGCCCCCAGCTGAATTGCTATTTTTTTCCTTCTTTCTTCCAGCAGATCCAGATCTCGGGCTAAGAGTGCCTCATTGGTCCCATTTTCTACTTCCTGGGTTCTGATTCCTAGGATGTCGACCTCCAATGGAATAACTGCTTTTGTGCCATAAGCCATGGCAGATAGAGACTCCCCAGTTGATCTTCTTGGCGTAGTCTAATATGCCCAGAGTACATTGGGCAACTTATCCACCCATTTTTCCTTTGCTGTTTCCAGCTTCTTCTTGATCCCATCCAAGATAACTTTATTGGATGCTTCTACTTGACCATTATTCTGAGGGAAGCTTGGAGTAGAGTAGTAATTCTTGATTTTGTAATTTGCACAGAAGCTTTTGATCAGCTTGCTGTCAAATTGTGTTCCATTGTCTGCTATTATCGCCATTGGGATCCCAAACCTAGTGATAATATTCTTCCATATGAAGTTCTTTACATTAACATCTCGGATCTTTGCAAGGGGTTCTGCTTCAACCCACTTGGTGAAGTAGTCTGCAGCCACTAACAGGAACTTTTTTTTGTCTAGTGGCTTGAGGTAGTTGTCCAACAAGATCCATGCCCCATTGGGCAAATGGCCAAGGGCTGGATACTGGGTTTAAATCTGCTGCTGGTTGATGTATCAAAGGTGCGAACCTCTGACCCTTCTCACACTTTCTGATATAAACTTCTGTAGCTTTCTGCATGTAAGGCCACCAGTACTCCTGAGTAATGGCCCTATGAGCAAGTGACCTACCCCCAGTGTGGCTTCCACATACTCCTTCATGTATTTCATACAAGAAGTTTTCAACTTGTGAAGGATGTACACACCTTAAATGGGGACTAGTAAAAGATCTCCTGTAGAGATGCCCCTCTGCTGTTAGACTGAACCTTGCTGCTTTAGTCTGATCTTGTGTGCCTCTTTGTGATCATCTGGCAGTTTCCCATCTCTAAGGAACACCATTATCACATCCATCCAACTTGGTCCCATTTCCACACACATTGCTTCACGCTCTGTGTTCAGTGGTTCTACACTTAGACCTGACAAATAGTCAACTATTATTTTCCTTGCCTCTCTAGGTTTCATTGCACTAGCTAGGTTGGCCAAGGCATCAGCATGGCTGTTGTCATCTCGGCTAATTTGCTGTAGCTGACAACTATAGAATAAGGCTATCAATCTATCCACTTCCCTTACATAAGCTATCATCCTTTCATCTCGGGCTGTGAATTCGCCCGGTGCTTGGTTGACAATAAGCTGGTAGTCACAGAAGATCATTACCTCGTCGACTTCCATTACTGCTGCCAACTTTAATCCTGTGATCAGTGCTTCATATCCTATCTCGTTGTTTGAGGCTTTAAATCCCAAATGAATGGATTGTTCCAACATCTGTCCATCCGGTGATACTAGCACTACTCCTGCCCCCGCTCCTTGTCGGTTTGAACTTCCATCAACAAACAGGCAGAAGGAGTCGCCAACGTAAATACTGCAGGGCCTGAGTTTGTCTTCTTTCCTCTGTTCTGCTATCCCTAGCTAGGTTTCTCCTTGTCTACCTGGACCTCGGCTCAACGGAGCCCGATGTATGATGCTGCCTGGTGTGAACTCAGCCATGAAGTTGGCCAAAACTTGGCCTTTGATTGCTGTTCTGGGTCTGAATTCTAAGTCATATTGGCCTAATATCACTGCCCATCTAGCTATCCTCCCTGTTAGATCTCCTTGTTGCAACAGCGACTTCAACGGATGTTCAGTTAACACCACAATCTTGTGGGCTTGAAAGTAATGATTCAGCTTCTTGAAGGCCATTACTAAAGCCAGTGTTAGCTTCTCCAAGGGTAGATATTTGGTCTCTGCATCTGCTAGGGTTTTACTTACATAGTAAACATCCCTTTGTTCTCACTTTTCTTCTCGGACTACCATTACACTCACTGCATGTTCTGAAACTGCCAAGTATAAAAACAGCTCCTCTCTAGGTGCTGGATTTGAGAGGACTGGAGCAGTAGTCAAGTATTTCTTCAAGTCGGCCAAGGCAACTTCGTATTCTTCTGTCCATAAGAAGTTTGTGGCTTTCTTCACTAAACTAAAGAAAGGTTTGCACTTGTCAGAACTTCTGTTTATGAACCTATTTAGGGCCGTAGCCTTTCCAATTAACATTTGTACTTGTTTTGCCGACGTAGGGCTCTCCAGCTCTAAGATGGCCTTGATCTGATCTGGGCTTGCCTCAATGCCCTTCCTAGTGACCAAGTATCCCAAGAACTTACCAGACCCAACTCCAAATGCGCATTTAGAAGCATTGAGTCGGAGCCGATATGTTCTAAGGATATTGAAAACTGCCTTCAAGTCTTCTAGATGATCCTCAGGTTCCTTGGTTTTCACGACCATGTCATCTATGTATACCTCCATTGTTCTGCCTATAAGATGCCTGAACATCTTGGTCACCGATCTCTGGTAAGTTGCTCCTACATTTTTCAACCCAAAAGACATCATTTTATAGCAATACAACCCATTTGGGGTGATAAATGCAGTGTTCTCTTCATCTGGGGGGTACATGGCTATTTGATGGTAGCCCCTGTAAGCATCCAGGAAGCTCATCCTTCCATGCCTTGAGGTGACATCCACCAGGTCAATTTTGGGGAGTGGAAAGCTGTCTTTGGGACAAGCCTTGTTCAGGCTGGTGAAGTCCACGCAGACCCTCCACTTCCCATTCTTTTTCTTCACAACAACCGTGTTCGATAACCAGGTTGGGTAATTTACCTCTCTAATGGCTCTGGCCTCTAGGAGTTTATCCACTTCCTCTTCTACTGCCTTAACATGCATCAACGTTGGCCTCCTTGCTCGTTGGATGACAGGTTTAGCCGACCTGTCCACATTCAGTCTATGGTAAGTGACCTCGGGGTCAATGCCAGGTATCTCGTATGGTGTCCAAGCAAACACCTCAATGTTTGCTCTCAGGAATGGACCTCGGGGTCAATGCCAGGTATCTCGTATGGTGTCCAAGCAAACACCTCAATGTTTGCTCTCAGAAATGCCTCTAGCTCTTTTTCCTTTTCCTTGGCCAAGCCCAAGTCGAGAAGAAAGAAGCGCTCTTCATCTCTTTGCTGGACAAGGACTTTCTTCAGGGCTTCTTCACTCTTCTCGGTTGGCTCTTTGCCGACGTCCTCCAGGACTTCCACGTCCTTCTCCTCAATTTCTACTGATTCTGCTCCTCGCACGCTGCAGGTAGACTTCATTGCTGCCATGGAGCAATTCTTTGCCTGTACCTGATCCCCTCTGACTTCCTCAATTCCATGCTCTGTTGGCAATCGCAGCAACTGGTGCAGTGTTGAAGGAACGACCCCCATTGCATGCAACCATGGCCTTCCCAAACTGGCATTGTACGGGGAGGGGGTGTCAATTATTGTGAACTTCGTTTTTACCTTCTTGGTGCCAGCCTGCACCTCCAAACTTACTGCTCCCAGGGGCCACGTTGGCGTTCCATTAAACCCAACCATTGGACCATTGGACTGCTCCAGATCATCTTGGTGAAGGCAAAGCTCCTTGTAGCATCTGACATACATGATGTCACAAGA